GGGGTCACGGATACACACACGCTAAATGGCGGGGTCGCGGATACGCACACGCTAAATGGCGGGGTCCAGGATACGCACACGCTAAATGGCGGGGTCACGGATACACACACGCTAAATGGCGGGGTCGCGGATACGCACACGCTAAATGGTTGGGGGCGCGGATATGCACACGCTAAATGGCGGGGTCGCGGATACGCACACGCTAAATGGCGGGGTCGCGGATACGCACACACTAAATGGCAGGGTCACGGATACGCACACGCTAAATGGCGGGGTCGCGCAGTGGCCCGACACATGCACATGCTAAAGCACTGACTAGGGTGCACAAACCAGCCCAGACACCAAGGTCAGGGCAGACGTTTGTAAAAGGTTGCAGTATAGATTATTCATGGCGACCCCCCCCGCCCCCACCCCATGGGGAGAGTGACCGTGCCACGCCAGCTCATTATTAACTCCATCTTGGGGTTGTTGCCGTTGATCTGTATTGCACCTTTATGACACTGGGCCAAACCCACAGCAATCAGCCAACCACATCGTGCTAAGCGAAGCGAACAGAACCACAGAATCCGGGGGGGGAGAGCCTCCGAAACAGGCAGGGGGGAGACAGACGCCTGCAGAATCCAGGGGAGGCAGACAGCTGGTGGGATGTTGGGGGGGGGGGGGGGGGACAGAAAGCCAAAAGGATGGGATGGGGGGACAGAGGGACAGAGTGTCGAGTTTGGAGGAGTCAGAGAGCTGCCGGGACAGAAGGGGGACAGAGCCACCAGCCCCCTCCCCTCCATAGCAGACGGTAGCGGTTGCCACCCTCAGCGATCTGCGGCCATGACCTTTGACAGACCGTGTCACGGAAAGACCAGCAGCGTCAGACAGATGTTATTTACCGATCGCTGCTTTGGCTCCTCAAGGAACCGACAGGTGACACCGAATAACTGACAAGACAAAAAAATACAGAGATGGCTGGTTGGCCAGTGGGGCTGGCATAGCAGTTAAATAAGGCACACAAAGTACCCCTTCCTGCTGGTCAGGGCCTCCTGCCTGTGATCCACTGCCAAATCAGAAGAGAAGACAATGCAGTACTTCATTCATCTATGTGGGAAAACTTTCTGGTTTTCATACAGCTCCTCCTGATCTCCATAAGGGACACAGACACATGTATAATATAGACGTGGCAAGAAGTTCTGGGGTCAGAGCACAGGGTCAGCCAGCGTCCAGTGCCCTGGAACAGTAGGGTTATATGATATGGCAACTTGCCATGAGATTTGAAGCCATAATCTTCTGGACACAGACACAGATACAGATCCCAACCACACCAAGCTACATGTTGCTCCAAAAAGAAACAAAATAATCTATTCTCCACTATGCATAATCTATTTCTGGAAAGAATTTGAATCTCAACTGTTGAGAGATTTCCATGAACGGCATGATGCTGCTCTCTTCATTTTCCCATTTTCGGTGCCCTCCGCTGGCACACCGTAAAGCGGTAGGCCTACAGGTCCCATTGCTTACCTCTATTCCAGAGATTCCTCCATAGGGATCTAAAGCTGAAAAGCGTTCCATGTTTGCAGGCGTAACGTTTCATATTGCCACAGCTAGCAGCATTGTCATAGTTTACCCATAATAAAAAAATCAATAATACATTTTTATCCATGCTGCAATCCAAGGGAACAGATCACTTATGTAGTTTGGCTAACATGGATATGAGCTGATGCTCATGCATTCTACTTTTTTATCACGTAATCAGTTACGTAAATATGTTGATTAGTGTGGTGTAAGCCGCCACATCACGTTATTGCGAACTTTGAAGAGTGCAAGGTGGCAGCGCCGAGTAATGAATATCCTGTGATATCAAAGGCCAGGGCATATAATAAGGAAAATACACACAAACAATGTGGAAAATTTACCAACACAATCAATATATTGTTGTTAAATAACACAGATACTGATAACTGGGTAACCTCTGAATCCCTTGGGGGGGGGGGGTTTGCTGGCGGTGCAGGTTAGCCGGTGCAGATTATTTATTCAACAATTCTGTCATTAGTGATTTTTTTTTTTTTTAGAAGAACTAATCTAGATTAACTGATCCACAAATAATCATTAAGCACGACCGATTTATTCCAGCACCTAAAACAGAGGCAAACAGCGGAGTGGGAGAAGTGCAGCTCCCAGCGAAATGAAAAAACCCGCAGCACCAGTGCAACATTCAAAGTTAAGCAAGCAACCGTCCCTGACACGTTTTCGAACTGTGTGCCATGTGATAAGAATGGGGCACGATGGAAGGCGATAACAAACGCCGTCGCGATGTATATTGCAAAAGACATGGTGCCCATACATACTGTGGAAAAGCCGGGATTCATTAACATGCTAAAAGTTTTTACAAGTTTCTAAAAGTGTTTACAATGGCGTGGTCTGCCATTTCACTTACAAGCATCTTTTTTGGCTTGTCAAATTGCACTTTAACTCTAAAGTAAAGAAAAAATAAAATTAAAACTTGTTCTGAACCTGTAGTTTGATTTTGAGTAGGGGAGGGGAAAATCGATTAAAATCGAAAATCGGATTTATTGTGAAAAAAATCAGAGATTTTATTTTTAGGTTATATCGCCCAGCTCTAGTTTCTGCTATATATTTACAGCCTGCACACATCCATGCAGGCACCCAACCTGATGAGGTGTCTATGGTCTATGTGACCGACAAGAGGGAGAAAGAAGAAAGAGAAAAATACGGATGGGCTGATCCACATTTTTTCAGTTCTGATCAGATACAGATACACTACTGCCGATACCGATACCGATACATTACTGCCGATTCCGATTCCGATACACTACTGCCGATATGATACAGATTCCGATACACAACTGCCGATACCGATACAAGAGCTTTTTTACATTCATTTTATCATTAGTGGTGCACCCATTCCACTTTTTCAGTGCCGCTCCAATCCTCTAAGCAGAGGGTATCGGCTGATATGAGTACTGATCTGATAAGCAGAGCTCTTTTTTAAAATAGTAAATACAAATGAGAAGATGTATGCCATAAAAGTATAATTATGCTACAACAAAAACATGCAAAACATACCGTTCCACCTCATTTGTACATCTTGTTTTAAGCGTTTTTGAGGCATTTTTCAGCTCAATTTGAATATCTTCCAAGCGAGGATACGCAAGTGGCGAATGCTTAAAATGCCCCACAATTTTTCTCCCACTGACAACAGCATCACTTACACTTCACTGTGACAGCAGCCCAAGCCAGCGACTCCCAAATCAGCAGCTGCTTTTTTCATATTACTCACATCGTCTCACACAATTGTGTGCAACTTTAGAGGGATTTCGCACTAAATGCTACTTCCACCTCTCAAAACTTTGGTTTTACAAAGATTGCAAATCTCTGTGCTACAAA